TCATCAGTCTATTGTTTCCTTCTGAAGCCAGCTCAAGCCATTTAAGAGATTATAGCCTGCAGCCAGGAGTTACTGATCTCAGCTAACGGCACACACCAGCCAAGAGCTTCTAGGGCAGTGCAAAATCCCCCGTGGGTTTCCCTCAAACACCAGCCTCCTCTGATGGAGGAAGCTCAACAATTTGACTTAGCACTGGAGTGGAGGAGCAACCCTCACAGCCTGCTCCACTGATGCTCTTCTGGGCGCAGATAGCTTACAGCAAAGCTTTGACAGCTTCTTAATCCTTCCTGGTTAGCTTTTCAAGAGGACATCCAGGCATGAGCACAGTTTAATGCTCAGCTAATGAATTCTTCCATTTCTGCAGAGTTACTGACATAACAAAGAGGGGATAAAAACATACTAAGAGGCTGAYGTTCATGGAACATTTCCCTGTGCACCCACATCAGCTTGCAACATTCCCCAGCAGTGACACCATGATTTTACTACCCTGGGATAAAAGGAACAAACTGTCCAATGGTTAGAAACTGCCAAGTGATGGTAAAGTAGGACGCTGCCCCATCTGAGTCTCCCTTCTTCCCCTGAAGGCAGGGAAAAGCCCAGAAGTCCTCATGCTTGGGCATGGTCAAGGAGCAGAGATCCAAGGTCCATGCTCAGGGAGTACTCCAGACAGTCACGACAGACAAGGCTGCTCCACAGACAGGAAAGCTTCCTATCATTTGAGAAGAAAGGACTTCAGCAGAGCAGACATAAGCTGTGTTACCTGGTCGCAGGGCCAGAGAACGGATTCTAGTGCATTTTTCCTAATGCTATTGACAAACTCCATTTTTCTCTCAAAACCCCTCAGGAATTAGAGCAAACTTAAACGTAGGCAGCTATAAAAATATCATTAAGATTTTACATTTTTTTTCCCCTGTGCTTTTCAGTAGATCTATGTCTCATTTCCTACTTCAACCTCCCTCTATTGTTTTTTCACAGTCACTGGAATTACTCCATCTCGAGCCAAGACAGCACAATGCCACTTACTGTTCTTATTACAATCTCCATGAGAACAAGCCCTTGCATTTTTAACACCATCTGTAACCTGTGACTTACAGTTATGTTCCTTTGCTCTGCTACTTTGATCTCTTCAGTATTTGGTTGTTTTTATGAGGCTGCCTCTTCTGTTTGCTCTCTGTTTATGGCCCCACTAATCTGAGAGAAGGGAGTAGAATAGGCAATCAATCAGAGCACAAAAAAAATGAAAAGGACAAACCAGCATGGTGCAAAAACTCTATTTCCAGCTGAATTGACATAATTAGTTCCCAGGGGTGTGAAAAGCTTTTCCTCACCCAGGTGATGTGAACTTCCTTCCAAGAAACCTTGTAATATGCATGTCACGAGATGTCACACAATGTTACTCCCTGGAGTTTGATAACATCACCGAGCCCAGATCTTACCTAGCAGGGCTTATTAAATCAAGGAGAAAACTAACAGCAGGAACAGATAAGGATGAACAGGGTTAAGCAAATCATGTTTTAAATATGTTGATTTAACAAGTAGGGGACCCGTCAGTCAGTTTTGTGACAGAGGTCTCCTACCTTATTARTATAATTGTTATCTGCTGCACAACATTATCATGTAGCACAGACCCTCAGGTAGGGTCATCCTCAGGAAACAGGCATAATAAAGGTGGGACTTCAGCTCTGTGGAAACCCCAGTTTTGGTCCTTAATTTGTACATTTTTCTTCCTCAGTAGTTCCTGTTGGATGTGAACTGCAAGCTCACATTGGTGGTGTGGTTCCTCTAAGTGGCCTCAGGCTCCCCAGGCAGAGACCAGCACCCAGCTTGGGATCCTGGCCCTTTGCTAGGTTCTTCAGCCAAGCTGAGGACATGACTCACTTGTTTCTTATGGTTTGCACACTCTGAGCTCCCAGTTACCTAGGCATTGCACTCRTTAGATTACCCCAACAGGACCAGAATGATGCAGAATTACTGTTTTGGAATGTTTTTATTAGAGACACGGGTCCAAAAAGCCTCAGGCTTTCTTCATTCATCTGCAGACCAAGGTGAAGTCTGAAGCAAGAAAGTCATGTACTTGTGACAAAACTTCATCTTAGAACATTCTTATTCTTCACTGTGCTCCAAAGCTAAAGCCAAAGCATGAATCCGGATGAATAACTGAGACACAGGAGAATGAGGTTGTACAGGACATTACAGATATAGTGGTCTGAAAATAATATCCTTAAGTCATTTTTAGTTAGCCTTGAAACAATCCGGCACAAAGACTTTTTGTTAGAAAGTTAAATGTTCCCAAGAACAATTGATTTAAAACAAGTGAAGGGGCTGGGAGGATTGGTCAGTAATTTTAGAACCAAAATTGTGATTAAAACACTTCAGCACTGAAAGTTCAGCAGCAGATTGCCTGGTTGTGATTAATATGACACTACAGGACTTGGCTGCGTGGAACAACGGCAGAGTCTAAACTGGAGTTAAATTCTTATCAAGTGAAATGTATCCAGCCTAATCTGATAGGTCTTCAAAGGTTAATGTAAGCGAAATCAATGCTGCCTCCATCCAGATAAGGTGTGGGAAATCGTCCTTGAGTGCGACTGTTCAGAAGTCTGTGGATGAGGGTAATAAAAGACTTTCATCTTGTGCTAATCTTTGCCAAGTCCATTGCAATGCATGAGAAGTTGATGATAAAAATACTCCTATTTATCAACCAGCAGAAATAGCACTGAAAATTGGGGTAGGTATGGATTTCTTTCTAGTCTATCTTCATAAACATTTTTAAAATAAAAAATAACTTCAGAAATTCAGAGATGTTGGATGCAAGAGGCTGCATGTGCCTTTTCAAAGGTTACAGCAGCAAAAAAACAGACTTCTCCAGGGATGGAGAGTGAACCCGGAAGCTTGGTTCAACTGGCAAAATGGCATTTAAGAAAATTGTTCTGCTGGGATAGGAGCTAAATGGAACCAGAGCCTTAGCATGCACTTAAACTTCAAGCATGTGGTTAAATCCTAGGGATCTAAGGAGATTTCCAAGCTCTACTCCAATCCACAGCAGCTAAAGGGCTGCTTAGTTTCTTTTCATGCCTTTGAAAGTATCCCACTAAATTCATGGCTAAATTTAAAACATAGGTTTAAAGCCTGTTCTGCTAAATCAGGAATTAAAAACAGCAGAGTGAGAAAAACTGACTTCYCTATGTGCCAAGAAAGATATAACTTTCAGCAGGGTTTTTGCAGCGCAGCTCTTGTGYAGAGAGCCCCTTGGTTCACCCCAAGCAGATGCACAAGCGAGTTAACTGCTCTGAATGCAGCTTGGAGAATGTCCCTGGCATGTGATATTCCCTTCCTCGAGCAATAACGTCACTTGGGATCAAGAGGAGATCACATGGTAGGAGATCTCAGGATCAAAWAAAAAAGCTAAGGGTAAAAAATAAAATAAAAATAAAAAGCACCTCAGTCTGTCAGCCCTGGGCAAAGAAAGATTTTTTCCATACTTACATAAAGTTTTGTCCAGCCAGCCTAGCCTAGTCCACTTCAGACAGCACTTTCAGCAGCCCAGTAGAGACCACGATGTCATTATGAACTAATGATAAATGCATGTACAGAATGTGGATATCTGAATTAATTTCTAGTTAGGTCTGTCTATTACCGAGCCTCCTACAGTGTTTTCTGCTAAAGCACAAAATAGCTTCTGCCAGCGACACAGCCACTTTTCCTCAATCCAAGCAGATGGTGCAATGAGAGCTGCATTCAGCATTAACTCAGTGTATTATTGTTACAGTTGATTAATACCTGAATGTTCTGTAAAGAYATAAACTATGATTATGTCTATATATGCTGCATGTTTATATACAACATTTACAAGAGATGCATTTTCCTCAGAATGAGCCGTCAATTATGAAGTATTTATATGTTCTGTTTACAAAGGCTTTTGTAACCAACACTTGAAACACTTAAGGTGTTAAGAGCTTAAAACTATTGATTCAATTAGTTCAGCCATCTTCAGAAGACCATCCTGTACTATTTTTTCCTAGATTGCAGTTGTGATTTGCAGCTTTATTCTTCCTCCTCTGCCGTGACCCTGATCCTGATGCCTGAGCTCAGCACTCCCATGCATTTCAGAAAAACATCCCTATGAACTGCCTGCAGAAAAAAGATTCTTAACATTACAAATGTGTTCAGGCTTTTCCTCCCCACGCTGGACTTTGAAACCTGCTCAGGTTGGTGAGGATGGAGGCAAGCTTAGTGTTAAATATATAAGATTGCCACTCACARCACTAGGGATGCAGGAACCATGAGGCCAAAGATGACCTGAAGCCACCTTCACATCCTTAGAGTTATGACTAGGTGAAGTAATCCGCAGCTTCATCACAGAAGATGCCTTGTGGGGCAGAGAAGAGTCAGGTGAAGCATTGCTCTTTAGGGCCCCAGCTCAGCCCAGCATGCACAAGCTCTGGGGTCTTGCAGCCTCCCTTGAGTAGGAGCCTGCACAAATCACCTCCCTGAGCTGTCCCCTCGTTGCAGTGTCTTCACGCTGCAATGCCAACCCCTTGGCAGCAGGAGGTTGTGTCTGCACACAAGCTGTGCAGAGCACAGCAGACCTCAGGTGCTCATCCACAAGAGGAGAGCAGCTAAATACTCATCAACAGAGGAAACAATTAACATCCATTCCCTCTCCTCGGCTGCCTCCCTCTTCTTTAAATCAAGCCTGAGGTACCACACTTTCCTCTCACCTGTGCTTTTCCCACCAAATCATCATTTTATGGCTTGCATTGACATTTGGCTTTGGAGACACAAGGCAAAAAAGCAGTGATCCAACTGTTCAGAGCAAGAGATGGAAGGTTCAGAGTTGGCAAGAAAGACAGCCAAACCAGAATATTACTTAGGAGAGGGTAATAAATAACTAAAGCAATGTTCATGCAAGCTTTAATGGTTTTTTATTGCCAATGAATATGCATCTTAAAGAACAATGGGGAGAAGGGCCAGATAACAAGAGCCAAATCCAGCTCCTACTGATGCCCACCATCTCCTGAAAAATGAGGCACAGGAGCATAAGAGGCAGCTTTAGAAGAGCTGGATGATTCAGACAGTTCTTTATTGTCCAAATAATAAAATAAGATCTTGAATAATGAGAAAAATCACAGCAAGCAGAGACTAAATCTTGAAGAAAGTACTTCAACCCTGCGGAGAAAGAGAAGAGCAAAGAAAGGAGCTCCACTTAAGGTCCATCCTAACTTCAAGTCTTCCCTTTTCTACCTGACAGTTCCTAGCACCAAGAKGGGATACAGCAGAACAAAACCATAAGGGCTCCCTCACAAGGTGTTGCCTAGYGAGGACATTAGAGTGCAAACGCCATTCCCTAGGCTGACTTTGAGTTTTAGTACTTCCCTTCACCTCCGTGTGCCTCTGCTCCCTGCCATGACTTTGAGAGTTGGCCACTATCTCCGGATGCTCTRCAGAGCTCTGGGCACAAAGGGATTCCCACTTATTTACTAGGATCTTTCTAGACTCCGAGCCCTTTGTAAGCCATCGGTGCAGCAACTGCTCTAAGAGCCTATCCAGTTTCTGCCTTTCTTCCCTCAGGCTTTGTAACTCTAATTCTAACTCTTYTTCATCTTGCAGAACAACATACATGGATGCTTTTAAATGTGGGCAGGGTTGTCCAATAACCCAAGCATTGTCCAGCATTTAATACAACTCTAGCAGTAGTAATAACAGCCCTGCAAGCAAAGAAAAGCATTTGCACATGCAGCCAGCTTCTAATCAAAAGCACACGTGCTATCCAACAGGGCAAGCTCTATGCAGATCTAACAAGCCAGTCATTTGAGGAAAGTGTTTAGAAAGTGTTTATAAAAAAAAAAGATAGTTTAAACACTTAATTTGGTACCTATGGCTAACAAACCCATTGGCAGTTCTACTCTGCATGGGAGGACATTTGTTCTACAACTTCCCCACTCACTTTTTTACTTTGCTTTGAGTCAGTGATGGGAAGCAAAGAAGCACTAGAATGTTGGGCAGGACTGCTAAAGCTCTGCTTTCTTCTCTGAAACCCAGCCAGGCACTTGCAGTCCCTGGAACAGAAGTAAAACCTCAGCTGAGTGACATCAACCTAAACAAGTGTTGTCCAAGCCAAAGCCCCAGAAAAGGCACGGGGGGGGGAGTGGGGGAAGAGACTGCTGTGATGCTGGTAGAGGAGCTGCAGAGTAATGCAGGGAGGTGGCACATRCCTATCAGTTCCCAGTCACTGCAGGACACTCCACAGAGAGCAGCAGATCTCAGGAAAGAGCGAGAAAGCAGCATCAAGACCATGAAGCTTCTACATTCCCAAACACAGAGCTCCAGGCTCACTAGAGTTAGACACAAACACCAAGCTCCCTTACCTTAACAGCTCAAACCCCAACAGAAGTGAGAATAAACATATACACCACTTTCCACTAAATAAACATCCCCTCTACCTGCTCAAGGTTTATTCCTCAGATGAGGTGAATCAGATTAGTGCCTTGATGGGAGAGGTCCTGCCTCTGCTTGCCTTCTTTTAAGGAGGCTCAAGGCAGAGGGGCTTGTAAGCAGGTGAATCCTAAGTGGGTAAATCAGAGGTTTCAGCTGGCAGGCTTTGTGGAGAGGGTTAGCAGCTAATCTGATAGCTAACTGCTTTTATTGCATGAAAATATTTTATGTTATGGAGTGTGGACCAAAGGCTGCAGAGGGGCAGCTGAAAGCCCCCTGAATCCAGRGTACTCTTAGAGTAAAATCCAGGCTTAAAGAGATCTAGAACCTTTGCATATTACTATTAAACTACAGTTTTGTATGAGTTTCTCATCTTTTACACTTTTACRCTAACAAGAATCTCATTAAAAAAGGAAAGGAGGGAAATACATRCATACATGTCCAGTTCAAAGAAGCTTGCAGTGTGTATATGCTAACATATTACTTCTGCGTGTGCTTTCCAAACATGTAAGAGATAAACATTTTTTTTTTTTTTCATAAAAATGGGAACAGTAAAGTGCAGAGGTTAAGCAGGTTGCAGGGGATGGAAGGCGCGAACTGAAATTTATGCCACATAGGAACTGCCTTTTCCCAAATTCACATACAAAAACTGCTCTTTGGAGCTCTTATAATTGCCTTCATACATGAATAATAATAGCTTACCTTTAAAAAAATCTGTATTATTCTTTTGATAGTGTTGCAGTGTTCTTGAAAAATGGATGTTATTTATTTGATTGTCCCCTGAAGATTCTTTTATCTTTTATCGCTGTCTATTGTGTAAATTTGTGTTCAGAGAATTTTTTAAATGTTGAATTATTCACTTGATTGACCTTAATGGCTTCTCCTGAAACACCTCAATATGGTGCAATTATTATCAATATAAGGAAGCCTAATAAAAATGTGGAAAAATAACTGCAACTGAATTATCACAAGGGGAAGGCTAATATTCTAACTACTAAAACATTAGTAGTTAAGAAAGTTAAGATAAGGCTAATAAAGACTTGTGCTTCAGGGCTTTGTAAAAAGGGTTAGGAAGTAATTATTTTAAATACTTTCTTCAGTGTTACGTAATTTAACTCTCGTTATTAAAGAAGCAGTTTTCAAAGGCAATGAAAGATGGAGCTAGGAACCAGATGAGTTTTTAAAAATTTAAGTTAGATTTAAGCTAGTTCTCATCTTGCTTCAATGCGTTCAAAAAAAAAAAAAAAAATCTAGACACTTATTTGCATCTGTCAACTCCTATGATAAAATATTTTTTCTTTCCAAAATGTCAATTTGTTGAAACTGAAGCATTTTGCTGTAATGTGTGAGCATGCAGTTCTGTTTCTGACGTTCCCCTGTACTTTAGTCTAACGCTCTGAGATAGCTTCATCTATAATTTATTCAGCTCCCCTGATGAATTAAAGCAATTTCTGTTGCTCCCTCTCTTTAAATACAGGAAGGACAGAAAAGGGCCATTCACCATGCGTGGGAAAATAACACTGGGCTGCTGAGACCGAAGTTCTGCTCCGCAGATCGACTCCGATGAAAACAGTGTTTAGGGGCAGTTCACACAACCTCACTGGGCACCACTGCTCATTTTCTCCTGCTGGCTTCTCTGTGTGGTCCAGCACATGGAAAGGAGTCGATGCGTGTGTGAAGCAGAATAAGAAATTTCAATACCTCTCTTTTCACAGACACTTTCTTCCAGGCCTGCCATGCTACCTGCTACCAAAGGAACATGCTTCCTACCTTCATGCTCCTTGTGTGCAATACCCCTTTTTGTATTTTCATGTATTAATGCTTTTTTTAACCTCCTGCTTTTGTATATTGTTTTTTTTCATACTAGTAGCAACAGTTATATATTGGGAAGGAGAACTTTCTGTTTGAGTCTTTCTTCATATCATTAATGTCCTTTTGGCCCAGCTCCTTCTATATGTGTATTAGCACTCCAAAATCTTCTTTGCTATCCATCCATCCTTCCTTTACCTGTCATCCTATCTAGTTATCACTCTGATTACATTGATGATGCCAGTTTTAACCTCACCAGAGAACCTTCTTGGACTGGATTCATATAGTCCTTTCCTCACTTCTTCTTCCTCTCATGGGTTTAAGGCCTCATCTTTACAATAACTTCAGCACACCTTCTGCTTCTCAAAAACCCCACAGTAAACACTACCCCAGAATCTTAAACGTTCTATGTGCAACACAGGAGCTGCTGCATCTTGCTCCATTGCCCTCTGAAGCAGTGGTGGACTGTGATAACCTTAATAAGCTCTTGAAGAGTAACGTAGGTGGTTTCTGATGGAAGAAACCTGTACCATGAATAATTGAGAATACATCTCAGCAGCTTTTTATAAAATGAGTAGAAGCATTCAGACTGCCCCTGTAACACAACACACCAAGTACTCAACACAGACAGCTGCTGAAGTGAAATAAGAAGCCCTGGTAATTAAGAACAGCCAGTGGAGAGCAGCAGATCGAGTTGTCACAGATGATGCAGCCTCTACTTTATGGAAGCTCCCAGCCCTTCTTCCCCCGGATTTTCCACCCTGCTGCACAGTGTGGACAGAATGGCTTCAATTAAGACAGCTTTGCTGTGTTTGCAAACGAGAGCTGAGCCAAGACTACTTGCCTTTGAAACTGGGCTCCCCTCGTGTGTGTGCAGAGAACATGTATTCTCGTGGAGGGAGAAGTGGGATCAGAACAAGAAGAATCCAGTAGCATTCCTGCATCTGTGCTTTGTGTTCATGTTCTTGCCTTATGGACACATTGTCTTGACCTCACAGCTTCAGTGATGTATTAGATGCTTATGCATATTAAATAGCTCTGTGGTGCCTTGGAACAATAAGTCTTCATTCATCAAGTGTTTTTGCGCTAATTCTTGCTCATCCTTCATGTCTTGAACAGCAGTAGTGTGTATCTGTGGGTTTGGCTCATTTCTTTTCCTTTTCAGTGAAAACATCATAAGCTATAGGGTGGGAAAGAAACTCAGCATCCATGCTCAAAGACCTCCCACTCATAAAATAGCACCTAATTTACAGTGATTCCATTTTCTGTTTGTAGCTGTTGACTGATCCCAGTGTTTTGGGAGGAAACAAGATGAAAATGGTCCAGGGGGGCATAGCACTCACCAGAAGAAGGTGTTACAGTCAAATAAATCATGACGGGAAAAGACATTTTTTTTCCCTACACATCCTCACAAAAGGATTGCGTTGGGTTCTTCCTTTCTTTGGATACTTTGCATCAAGCTGTGGAATATGGCGAAGGAGGATTTTATTCACTTTGTTTGCCAGCTGTGCTGAGTTGAAAACTGCTGCTGTTGAAAATCTCATCCAGAAACCATAAACTCAGGGTTGTGTCCTTAAAAGTAACTTTTCRAGTTTCCACTTTATTTAACCTCTCAATAGCTAACATATCAAATCTGTTCCATTTAAAGGACTAAACACTTCTCTTAAATGTCACCCTGCAGCACTGAAGACCCAGTTCTGGGATGCGATACTCCAGCTGTCTATAGTGTGCTTAAAGATAACATTGCCACGCTAAAGACTCTGGAGTCGGGACTCAATTAGCTCTTTTGTTTGCAGTGAATGAAGCAGAGGAGAAGATGGATTGTTTTTTGTTTTGTTTTGTTTCCTTCAGAGTTACAAAAAATGAAAAAAAAGATCTGTTTATGGCAATAAATTAGGTAGTGTTAAGTCTGCAAACACATGAGGAAAGAGGAGGAAATAGCAGCATGATGCTATTTTTGCAGTCACAATTTCATTGAAATGAGCATGCTTGGAAATTATTCAGAAAGCATGCTGAAATAAAAGCAAAAGCAGACCAAGCCAGGACTGATTTCAATTATGGGGACAAGGGAGACAAGACACGTACTGAAATTGCTCATGAGCGCTCTCTTATTTGCAAGGCTGGACCTTCTTGCCCTGCCAGTGGCATTCCCGACCCCTGCACTTGCCCGTGCTCCTCTGCTTTTGCTAAATGGCTRATGTGACACATGACTGTCACAGGTATGTGACATTCTGCTGCAYGGAACTGCACTGAGTAACCTGCTGGGTCATTCTTTTTACCTTGATGTCTCCTGAAGCAGAGGGTTATTTCATCTCTCCCCCGCTGCCTGTGGGAAGGTGCTGAAACAGAGTGAAGGTAACACAGCTTTCCACCTCTTGAGCAACCTGGGTCCATGATGAGGGCCTTCAACTATTAGAATTTCTTGTCCCTGATCATCTCTTGCCCTGAGATATTATTTTCCTCACTGTGCTGTAACATCTGCCTTTGTTTGTGACCAGCACCAGCATCTTTAATTCGGCACGAATGAGTGAGGAAGGAGTCATGGGAGGCAAGGACCAGGCAGGGATGGAGAGAAGTCCATGGACCCCTAGGACTGGCTCAGAGCTTCCCCAGACTATGGGAGCTCAGGGAAGTAAACTGGCTGAACCCATGACAAAATCCCATCCTTACAGTGATGGCCACTCTGTTTCCTGGTTGACTCACTGATCTTTGGGTTGGTGGATGGGAGCCAGGAGCAGCAGCAATGAGAAGAAAACAGGAATGTGACATTGAGAAAAGCAGGGAGCTAGAAGTCCTCTGTGCCTGTAGGACTTCCCCAAGCTTCACACAAGCTGAGTGGGAAAACTCAAGCCAGGAAGCTCTGCCATATCTTGGGAACTGGAGATGCAGTGGTAACACAGTAGAGAAAGGGATACCAAACCAGTAAAACAAACACATTATCAACTTCAACAATTTTACTCCCTAACTTATCTAAATCCGCGATGGAAGAATAATAGTAAGATTCCTTCTATGCACAAAAATATCATGATAGTTATAAAAAAAAATAGTTTCCTACCAGAGCAGAAGAGCCCTGAAAGCCACTGGAGCCATGCTGCTAAATATGGAGCTTGGTCAGTCATCTCCCATGTGCTGTTGAAGTAGCACTCAAAGGTACAGGGAGTGAGTTTTAAAGGGACTCTCCACTTTCCTCTTCTGCAAATGGAATCAAGATGTTGTTGTCATYATTATTAATATTATTACTATTATTTTTCAGACAGCATGC